ATACAATTATTAACCTATGACTTACTATGCTAATAGATTTATTATTTCATTGATCATTTCTTTTTCACTTCTTATCACATAGAATATCAATTCAAATTGTTATTTACCTATTACAATGGTAGGGCTTACAGAAAGAACAGAGTAAATAGTCCTTCAAGTGTAAGGTGAAAGTATTGATATTAACTGGTAGTATTTATTATTATTTCAATCTTCTCTCAAGAACATTTTTGGCAGTCAAGTGACACTCGAATATTATCTAATTTTTTCGCAGTTTATTTTCAGGACATTTTTTTTTGTCAAGTTCATTTATCGCCAACAAATAAGAATGACTGGTGTACTTCCTAGAACTCTATAAATGACTAGAATCAAAGCACAAAAAAAAAGTCTACTTGCATTAGATAGAATTTATAGAGGAGAATGATGTTGTCGAAAATAAATGAACTTAAATAAAAAGATTGTTAGAAGATACTATCAGAGAAAAAAAGAAGATGAAACATTTGTATAAAAAGAAATAATTAAACCTATAACAGAAAAACAAAGAAATTTTAGTAGTAGAGACCACAATGGTTGTAGTGGTTCGTATTGGTGAGAAACCTTTTGTACATGATGAAACGACGATTTTTTTTTCTTTCTTTTTGTATTTTATGCGTTCTTACCTTTGCCTTTTTTTTTTCTTATAGTTTTGACATATACACAAATACACATTATATTATTTTATTCGATTTTTCGTTTACATCTAACATTATTATTGATCAATTTATCTCAATGCCTGTTCGAATTTTCTGTGTATTCTTTGTACCTGATCAAAGTAAATACAATTCATTATTCACAGATGATTATTTACGAATTAAAACTGAAGAAGACGAAGATCAAGATATGGGTTACACATTATTTTAAGAGCAAAATTCTGTAGTTACTCAATCGAATTTTTAATCCTTTTGTTTTACATCAATCGAATTAGATATATATTCGACCAACGTGTATTCATTCAATAGTCGCGAATAATATTCATAATATTGAAGAGCTAGATTTTGCAGATGTTTTTGAATATTAATACAGATATTATGAAGTCTTTCATTTTATCATGAACAGTTTTTACAAATTTCAATAATTAATTTTTTCGCATCTTTTTCTTTTCTTATTATTGAATAACAAAAAAATAAACAAGTAATGATAGTATCAATTTGATTTAATCAAAGAAAATATTTTCATATAAAATGAATTCATTGATATTAAATATTTTATCAAGAATATTTTTCAAAAGTCTAACATTTCGCGGCTACATTTTCAGATAGAATAACAATTATTCTATAAAGACTTTAATTGTAATATGGATATAGAGATATAATTAGTGCAGTTTAGCATTTAAAGATAATTATAAGTTCAATTAATCTTCATTCATTAAAACTATTCGTCTTCCCTTACATCAATTATGGCTGCTTGAAAGTATATAAAAAAAATTTGTTTAGTAATAAAAATCAGAGTAAGTGCATAAAAATTCGAATTAGAAATTAATCAATGCCATGATCACAATGGTAAAGTTCACAATCTGATTTTTCTTTTTTTGTGTTAATTGAAATGCTCAGTCCAAAAATCAATTAATAATCGATAAATAACTGCTACAGAGAAAGACAGTTGTGTTTGGTCAATTATTTAGAATTTTTTTTCTAAAGAATAATAGCACTTTAGCTTCAATTATGTAACGATTCTTCAATCTTATCATATTTATTTGAGCATTTAAAAAAAAAATTCATCATTTAACAATTCATCTTGAATATTAGATACAGTTAAATGATTTATATTAAGATATGAGTACAAATTGTACTAACATGTCTTATCGTGTACTGGTCAGTACGTAACACTGAATGAATTCTAGACTTGAAGATTTTTTAGATTTGTTTATGTTGTTATGACAATACAAGGTATGTGCCAATAGATGAGCTGCATGAATGCTTTCTTACACATTAGAATATCATTTATTTTTCGCGTAGAATTGGTACTCGTACTTGTGGACCTCTCTATGTATGCGAAACTTTCATGGCAATCTGATGTTAACTTTATCGTTATTCAATCACGATCAATATGCATCAAGATATATAAATCCTGTAGCTGTTAATGATGACAAGCTAAACGAAGAAAAAAATCTTTCATCTAAATTTGAATTTAAGATTCTTCATGTACTGTTGGAAATTTACTCAGTTTTTTTTTGCTTTATGAACCTTAAAACTAATCTTTTCAGATGAAGGCATGGACGGCCTTCTAGTAATATTTTCACATCTTTATTTTCTGTGTTATATATATACAAATACGAACAATGAAAATCGATATAAAATGCTTATTTGTAGATACTATAGTTTATTCTAAATTTTTCTCAGTCTGTATTTGTAGGAGTTTTTTACCGCGACTACATGATCTATTATCATATTCTTCCGTTGTTATAATCAAAGAAGATAGAATCGGAGTTTTGTTTATTTTTATTTCGTAATCATTGGTCATGTAGCAATCAGTTTTGGCAAAGTTTTAGATAACACTAGTTGCCATAGCAATTCTTGTTGTAACTATTTAAAAAAAAAATCTCCAATTTAGTTTTGCTTATTTATGTGATCTCAATGTTGTAACGCTATAGATATCATTCAAACTTATCTGTATGTGTAATGATTCATCTCACATTATAAAAAATAACTAATCTTTATTAATTAATTATCAAACCATTCGATAGAACTTCCGAATATATCGATTGATAAAGATTCTTCTTAATTTAACTTGACACTTATCGACTAGAAAAAATAAATTCTATATATGGAATAATCAGAATGAATGATAATATGATTTATCATGACAACAATCTCAGTAAGAAAAGAGAGCACATCTTCAAATGTTATCTATTTCTATTTCTTTGATGTTCAAAGCGCTAAAAGTAAAACTTTTAGCGATTTTTATAGTTTTCAATTTGAATTTATAATCTTAAATATAAAAATTCAACACACAATATTGAAACTTTCTTCACTATCAAAAATTATCATCAAATGTAATGTCTCTTGTTTACAAATAGATGAAAAAAATCGTACCAAATAAAATTTTATGTTTCATATTATCATTCTTTCATCATCACACGAATTTTCTCTATCGCATCATATCATAAATATCTACATTAAAATATTACCTTGTACAAATATAAATGTCAGTTCTTACGTATATATAAGCAGGATTGTATGCATGCATCTAGTATTCGGTAAAAATGTTTTACACATATAAACATCTGATCCTTCGTATTACATTAAAAACGAAAGGTAAACTGTATAATAAGTATTCAACGACGCAAAATAATTGAAAATACTTAGGGTCTACCTAAACAAGTGATGTTGACACTATTAAAGTCTTATAAGAGGCTCAAGGAAATTTTCTTTCTACCTATATTTATAGCTTAAACTGAGTTCTATAATCTTACAGTATGTCAGCATTCTTCAGGTTATGTTATAATAGTAAAATTTTGATGTATTAAGTTTTACTGATGATTTTTGAAAATTTTTCTTCTTGCAAATATAGAACATTGAGTTATCCAAAATTATTCATATGTTACGAAGGATACGAGAATCTTAGATTTTTGAAAGTTCAATAGCTTAGAAAGAAAACATTCGTATGGGGTAGAATTTGTTTTGTAGGATATTCTATTCACAAGTAGATCTATCATTGAGTAAAATTGCTGGTTGAAATATTGTTACTTGAGATTTGTTGATGTGTACCGTGTTATAGTTCACTAGAGTCGACCTTATGTTTAGAGATTGGAGACGAAAACGATTTTCTCGATAGAAATGTGTCTTTTTTTATGCTCTGTTTGTCATTTCTCTATGGGCTTCTCTGGTTTTCTCTTTTTGTGTCTTGTTCGATAGTCATTCATCTTCATAGTGTAAAGATAGATCTTGTTTGTCTTTTGCATACGTGTAGTTAATTGTCCTGTATTCTGAAGAAGAAATGTTTGAAAAAAACTATCAGCTAATTTTAACATATCGAAACTTTCCTATTATAATATCACTTGAAGAGTGATGCAATATTGTAGAATTATAGAGATCGATTTGGACATATCAGTATATGCAGATTAAAAAAATTTCCTAGACCCTTCTTTAAGATACAAAAGTGTCAGTGTTAATACTTTTGATATGTTCTAAGTACATTCTATCGATATTTATGTTCTTCTTCGAGCAACGTCTCTTGATCGACGTTCATCTATACTTAGAATCATTCTGATATTCTTCTACCCATTTGCCACTATTATATTACTATTAAATAAATATTCCAAAGTCAGGGTATTAATATGATGATTCTTATTTTAATCCCAATAATTAAGTCTAATGGTTTAAAATTCCAACAAACAAACCTCTGGAAAAAGATAAACATACATATGAGTTCATTCTAGGTTTTAACTTTGTATGCAAGCATATTCAACGAAGTGCATATTGAACTTTCACGTGAAAGAAAACTGAATTAGAAACATCAAGGAAAGAACGATGTAATTGGTGTATTTTTATTTTAATTGAAACTAAAAAGTTCACAAAGCATGGAATCAGTATTAGCTTATGACGGACAAATAGCTTATTTATTAAATTCATTTTACATTACTGTGTTTTATATTTGAAGTCATAGGAATATGTTCAAACCTCAATTCTTCTTTCGAATATTTATGAGTACAATATATATTAAAATGTCAATGACTGTTTTAGATTTACTAAAAAAATTATTCATGTCTTGTAGGAAAATAAATTTTTCCAATCGTTTTACAAAAGGTTGTCATATTCAATGTGTTCAAGTTTCACTCTCATACATATGAAACCAATCATAGTTTTCTTTTTGTTATCAAAAATAAACTTGTCAAAGAATATCTATTGCGATGATATGATCAACAATATATGTTTCCTTTTTCTTAACATTTTATCTCAGTCATTAAACTAAAACTAATATTAGAACAGTTTATTCCATGTCAATTAATGAACAGAATTGTTGGTTTATTTGTGTAGAATTCCATATTTTTTTCTTAATTCATGTAACAATGTATGATTAAAAGGACAATCAATTTTTCGACCATTATCGTTAAGACCTCCTGGTTGCCATTGATGATGTTCATGTACAAAATCTTCTACCCATATATCTAAACAAGGATAATATTTACTTGATATTCTGTTTGTAACCATAGAACAAAATTCTTTATCTTTTTCACACATTTCAACAAATAATTGTCCATCAGGTGCTAGATTATCTCGAGGATTCACTGGTAATGAAAAACCTTCGAGAATTAGTTGTGATGCTTGTCGAATTAATTTCACAACTTCATTTTTTTGTATTCCCTTTTGTCGTTCATTGATTGGATAAAAAAGACCTTTAATATATGGTGTACCACTTGTCATTTGTTGTTCAAGATATGAACTATATGCTCTTTCTGTTTTTTCTGCTGCCCATGGTCTTATACCTCCAATATTAATCATTACAGATCCATCTGATAAAAATGTTTGATACATTTGTCCAGTACCTGGTCCAGTTATATGAATATCCATTTGACGTAGAAGTTTTAGTTGAGCTATAAAATCATTTTCAAATAATTCATATGTTGGAGAACGAGATTCATATGGTGTCGCATTTACTTGAAGATTACTAAAATTTCGAGCTTTAATTTGGTTGTAGAAAAGATAAGTGACACGCACTAATGGCCATTGTAATTTAGCTGTACTATTTGTAGTTTTATTCAAATATGAATTGGTATAATTATTTATTTCACTTACAGCATCATCAATTTCTTTTCGATCTTCACTTGTATAACGTTTATTATCAATAATATATGCTTGAAGAACATCACTAGAATTTCGTCCTTCAGATGAAGATTTTTGTCGAACAACTGGATAAAGAACACCATGTTGTTGATACATTCTATCACGGAAAAGTCTTGAAGCATCTAATTCAACACCTGCAGGTAATTGAAAACTTGGTTGTGTACAACGTTGACAAAATGTTCCACTACCCATAATAAGTTCTTCAAACATAAACCAATTATTTTTTGACATTTTATTTAGAACACTTAGTCTAAGAAGTCCAAGACCACCAAAACGACTATAAATATCTTCACTCCAACATGTGGTACAGTCACTTACTCCAGCAAGAATACGAAAAGGATGAAGATGTCTTGGAGGAAAACGAATAAGTGCAACATATGCTGGATAAAGACCATCGAATAGTGCATGACCAATATTATCATGCCAAGGTTGACCAAAATGAACAGTGACAGATGGAATTACTCTTGGATCGATGACAGTACGCACGAATTTTTCAAGATCAGAATAAGTATCAAAAACACGTTTGTTTGGTGTTATATGCGATGGTACAAAGGCATCGGTTCGTACAGAATATGTAGGTAACTGTTTTCCTTTTACTGTTAAAATCATAAACCAATGATCAAAATAATATAAATTACGATACAAACAGGATTGATTATATAATGAACCAACACATTCAATCGTAGTTTCTAATGTTTTATTATGATGAATGAATTTTGAATCTGTAATAGCCAAAGTATGTTTAGTGATTCCTAATCGAGATGATTTTTCTAATGTTGTATCTATCAAGTTGTTGCGAACATTAGCATCTCGATAGTTGTGTTCTTTAATTTGATTCTTTTCAACCTTCAATACATTTGGCATTGATGGCGTCATATTTTGTCTTTGTCGTATCACAGTTCGCCACATAAACATCATAACAATTGTGAGAGTAAGAAGTAGTAGGAAACGAAGTTTTGGATAGATGGATCTTGTTTTTCTTATTATTTTCAACATGATTGGCAAAAATCTGAAAAATAGATATGTCTATCTATATAAAAGACAATGAAATCAATGAAAGCTGTTTGACTAAATGTTCAAAAGTCCTTTAGATATTGTTTTTCTTTTCTGTTGTACACTGCTGCAGTGATTTATTCAATAATTTATAAAGCTTTAGTTGATATGGCACGATGTTCATGAAACAAACATTTTCCGAAATGAATGGTTCAATGCCATCTTGCAATAAAGAATGCTTTGTTAGATTTAAACGCATTTAAACGAGCGTGAATGTAGAGAAGACCTATGGACTAATCTACTCTCACAGTTTTCCAAGCATATCCACACTACAACGTAAATCCATAGGTATGTCAACATCAATGCAGCCATTCCTACGCAGATAACCATACACGCACTCAGTTACTCTCACCTCAATTATCCTGAATTACCTAAAAGTCACAGAAAACTAGACAATAGTAATTATTTTCAATTGGATACATATATATAGTGACGAATGAATATAGTTCGATGTATTTAAAGGACTTGCGACGAAATCATTTTTAATTTCATCAATTCCATTGAATGCATAATCAAACATGTACAAGTATATTTCAATTGAATTTTTTTAATCGAAACGTTGATTTTTCTATTTCAATGACTTCAATCATACATTTTATAAAAAACAAAAAAAACAGCTGCTAATAATTCCAAATATTTTTTTCAACGAGGTTCCTTTCAAAATATATCTCAAATCATCAATTTAAAAACAAATTTAATTCTCTTTCAGAGAAGTTTGTTAACCAAGTTCAAACAACTGACGTCTTTTATCATTTAATCAACGAACTTCGTATTTTATTCGTTCACAAGAGATCGTTTGATTTCAAGAAATACATACCACTACGTACTAACAAGGATTTTGATGATAAATAGATCTTGATAATGAACAGAAAAGAAGACATTTTCGTTCATACCAAGATCTACTTACTTTCTAACACAAACCAACTCCATCATTGACATTCAACCATCTACAATCCTCAACATTTGCTTTATCAATTATAACATAACTCTTCCATAAACTATTTTTTTTCACGATAATAGAGTCAGCCACTAGGAACAACACCAAAATAACGATTATTGCATGCCAAATTTGTTTCATTTTTTTCTCGAAAATGTTCTTGATCTTTGATAACATACACTTTTGTGGAGGTGTTATCATGTCCACACGCATCATGGAAGATAAATCATACAAAAGATCATCGAATGCTGTTACTTGAAAACATCTAAGTCATCATTGTTTTGCATTTCTTAAATACTTGCAACCAATAGCTCCAAATAATTAAAGGTGTTTGATTTTTGATCTAAGCATTCTATTGTCAATAGTATCAATCATAACTAAGCACCATGTAATAGACGTGGTAAGGATGCGTTTTCCAAGAGAATTCAGTCCAAAATATAGTGTAATAGATTTGTGCATAGAATAAGCATAATCATGAAAACAGGCACAAAGTATATTTATCAAATTTTGAATAAATTTAAAAAATGATGAAGTTCACGATGTCAGTAATGTTGATCTCATCGTCTTCACTGTTTGAATATAATCTGCTCTAAATTAACTACAAAGCAATTATGGTAAATGTCGACCAGTAAAGATAACAACAGTCTATAATGAATGCTCGTTTGTTTATATAATAATAGTTGAAATCTTGATATAGATTCTATTACGTATAAACATCTTTGAATACCATTATAATAATTATTGAGTAGGAAGTGAAAATTAATGATTGATTCTTTCATAAAGTTTAAAATATAGATAACAAAAATCATTAGCATAACTCTCTTGATTGTTTGAATATAAACATTCATCATAGTATTAATAATTTTTCTTATATAATGAATTGCATTGTTTTGACAAATTGTTCCTTCAATACTAACATTCACAATTAATAAATACATATAAATTGTGTATGCAGAGAGCATGAAAATCATTTGTCTGCCTGAAAATAGATTTCTGTTGGTCAAAAGTAGTAAAGAGAAAGTCTACGATTAGATTGACAAATGTCATGATAAACATCGAAAACAAATCGAACTCACTTTGTATTGTGTTTTCGAAAATTCTACTTTTCTATACTCACTTTGTAGTCTGTAGAAAGTAATCATTGTAATGTAGCTTCTAGAAATCGTTCAAATATCAACCAATTCTCTTAATATCATATACAATCCAATAGAGAAATACTTATTCAACAAAGCTAGATAATCTATGCGACAAACTTGATTACAAGGATGCTCGCAAGACGACGACATTCACTTTTTTTTCTTGATCTATTCACACCACGATACAATTGAATGTTACTGCATACACACGTGTTTATATTGATATCAAGGATTGAAAGAGGAGAACAGGTAATCAAGCGTATCGTTTGCGAGAGAGAAACGAACTACAATATATAGAGAATGATGAAATAGAAACAGAATGATTATGATAAAATGAATGCAAAATATTCGAACATTATTTTTCTCGTTTATTGTCATGTCATTGATAGACCTTAATCATCTACTCAAAAAATATATAAATTTTATTTTGATTTAATCCCTGTTGTACTTAATAAAATTCATGAGAATTATGAATGACTAAATATGTCATATTAACAATAAAAATAAAAGAAATTCTTAAATTTCAATTATATATTATTTGTTTCAAACGTTATGAAAGTATTGTTTTTTTTTTGTTCTAATTTAGCAAAACAAACTGAATGAAATCGTATATATTTTAATAAAAAAAATCTTTTCGATCTCTATTCTTCTAAAATTTTGTCTCTAATCTCCGAGAGTCAAATAGATATAGAAAATCAAATTCATAAAAGATGTACAATTTGATACAGTTTTTGACGTCGATTCTGAATAAACTATCTATTTGATATTATAATTAAATCGCGATAATAAAAATAATTTAAATAAGAAAAGATTTATTTAATCTAAAATCTGATTTTGCCATCAAAATGAAAGAAAAAAAATTCAATTTTTTTCAACAATAAAACATAATCTTCATTTGTAGTTCAAAATCTCTTACAATTCGAATAATATATATTGGAACTATCTATATTCGATACGAATTATTTCAATCTTATCAATTCTAAATAATATATAATTGAAATTCTCAAATTTCTTTGAAAAAGAAAAAAAGAAGTTCTTAATTGTCAATATAACATATTCAATCATTCAAAACTTTCGCGATTTTTTATTAAAGAAATAGTAACCAAATTGAAATAAAAATATATATTCGCATTTAAATGATCAAAGTCTATCAAATGAAAAAAAAAAAAATACCTTCCATTTATGCATTGCTCGTACCTTATAATGTTAATAATATGAAAGAGATAAAAAACAAAAAAAAATATAATATAATATTTTATTGTTCTTTCCTTTATATCAACATGAGGCAAACTGCTAAGCATCCATATTCATTAGTATTTACCTTTATTTTATTTCTTATTATTTTCTAATCTAACGAAATAACGTTTACATGTTTAATGAAAGACAAAAAAAATGGATAGAAAAGAAGAAAAAAAAATACATCATTTATGATTGATAGAGATACATATGCCCAGGAAGAAGTGAAACGCTGTAAAGGCCGTTTAAACTGTCATAATCACCTATTCTGTTAGGAAACGGTGATAAACGGCAAGAAAAAACGTGATCATCACTTTTCTTGCCGTTTTTACGTCTAGCCAGCGTTTCCGAGGCATTATTCACATTAAATAGTCTCTCAAACAGTTATAAAAGTCATTTTCTTCTTCGTAAAAGATAGTGAGAAATGTTTATGATCATCTTTTCGAACGAAAACAGCTGTAAATGCTCAAAGTAGATTAATCTTTTTTTGGTACTGGTTCCCATAATTATTTATATTCTCAGGAATTTGTATTTTTTATTGTTTTATAGTACGCGTGAAAGACATTTAGTCCGTTTGGAGCTCCCATTTATCTTTTGGTCTGCTGAATTACTTCAAAAAAAGTATTTTCTGTAGATTTAATTGTGCGAAAAAGAGTTCCTTTGATTAAAGTAAGAATCCGCATAACATTGACATCATATGAATCAAAATCATGTGTTAATGCGAACATTAGAATATCGAGAAAATACAGGTTGATTTTATTGATTTAAAGTTTCAATTTTCACATTGAAATCCTAATTTTTTGATTATGTTCAAAGCTCGAAACGTACGATAAATTATAAGTTCTTAATATTCTCAAACATAAAATTGCTGCATTAGAGTTTTCATTACAAATTATCAACTCATCAGTATATGAGCTAATTGAAACTCGTTTTATGACAAGTAATACAACATTATTAATTATGAGCTACATAATCCAATTAGAAACTCTAGTCAAGTCAAAAGAGAGTAATATTTTCAGTTAATATATATTCGACAAATGCATGTGGCATAAACAGAACGGATCTCATATGTTTAGTAATTGATCGTTAGTCTTAATCAAATTCGAGAGAGATAGGAAAGCAAAGGGAAGAAAAGAAAAATTTAAGTCAAGAAGTAAAAGAAAAAAATCAGAGAAGAGAAAGGAAAAAAGAATAAAGTTAAAGAAGGACAAAAGAGAAAATAAATTCGTCCAGCACATTCATTCATTCATTCGATGAAGATTGCTCAATAAGTAA